CTTAGGTGTCCCCTATTCTGTAGTATTATTTAACAAATATTTAAGGCTTATCCGGCGATAAATAGAGTTTATGGACAGCTGCTTGTCCTTGCACTAAAAATACAGAAGAGATGAAGCTGAACAGAGTATATAGACTCTGACTGATTAACTAATCGCACCGACTAATAGTGCATTAATGCAACAACTGAAGTTAATCATCCTGCTAATAATTTCGCTATAAATGCAAGTCCAATATGTAGAAAACATTTCTGTTATCTGCAGAAAAAATGTCATATGATTTATCTAACTAACAATATCTCTAAAGGAGTTGTATTCACACTAGAAGTAGGAGAAACAAACAGTCGGGGTTCTCAGATATCTCGAGTACAAAAATGCACATGGTCGACATTAGCGGAGTGGTGTAACAATCCTACATAACACAAGATAATTCGTCCAGTAACTATTTAAAAAGGTCGAAATTTGCTGTGAAAGAAATATTAAGAAAGATGCTTACTGGAAAGCTTCCAGCTTTAGTTATTTGAAAAATCCAATCAACAGGACTCTTATCAAACTTTCGAATTTTAAATTAGTTTGAGAATTCTCCTTGGAAATGTGAAGAATACGCTCTGAAATATGAACAGATTGTTGCACCTTCAGTTTGTATTTCTTTGGTGCTTTAATAAGACATCGTAAACCGGAGGATCTAAACTGGCGAAGAAATATCCACATTATCTATAAAGTAAACGACATCAGCTATAATGCGTTGGACAACCGTGTAAACTACCTTTACAACATTTTTGTCAACACTGGTTAGCTGTGCGGGCAGATGGTTAAAGTGTTTCCTCCCAAAGTATTCCAGATATTCAAAAACTTTGAGATATTTGTTAATCCAAAATTCGACTGACAGAATGAAGGAGTGTGATTACTGGGACTGTGAGCTACAAATAGTTTAAGTCTGCTGAGGGTTCACCAGTAGACAGTTGTAGACCAAGTTGTTATGTGCATAAGTAGCCAAATAGCAGAGCGTGCTGGCCAATCCAAAGTGATGGGGACAGGGGACAGATAGCTTACACGTCCAAGGCAGGGTTCATCAGATTTATACTCACTTAGTGGGCCAAATGATTTCAAACCTCGAGAATTCCATATACTTATTAAGTTTAGATACTGATAAGGACTTTAAGGAAACAACTGTTTGGATAAACATTAGGTGCTTTAAATATGCAATAAGTATCACTAGACTGAAAGCTGCTCACTCCTTATTTTATTCTCTACAGCTTCTATCCACCTGTATTTCTCTGTCGTATTAGTCAGTGTTTGTATGCAGGAGATAAATTAATATTATGCACTGTAGTTACGTGCTATTTATCTATTTAAATCAAGGTATTTAGAAAATCTAAGCTGAGGGAGTTTTCGTCGACAGACTCTGTTATCACTACTTAGCTCATTATTATTCATCTTATTTAGTTACCACTACTTTGTAATAACAAATTGTTTCTGATTTGTTCCTGTTGAAGGAATAACATTTCCAAAATTGAAAGGTTAATTTACTTGTTTAGTTATAAACATACACCTTATCTCATGAAACCAACCTGGTGCCTCATTGTTGCATTAAACACATAGTTAATTACGAATCGATCCAACTATTTTGTGCTATTTAAGTTGGTTTGTCGAGAAACTGAAGTTCCCTACTCTTAGATTTTCAATGTTTTTGTTTTACATTCGTATTTATGACTATTTTGCGTAGTGAATCTGTTGGCGCACCATCTTAGTAATGTGTAGCACACAAAGCAAGACTACGATATTTGATGAACTAGTTTCATCCCATGAGAATGACCGGCTGTGATTAGAACTACTTGACTTTATCTGTTTGATCATTAGAGGAATAGTTTGTTTATGCAAGAAGCAGTTTGATTATTTCTACCATATTATACAAACGTAGATGTTTATTCTTCCACTCACAGGCTTATTTCTAGGAATAGACAGATAAACCTTACTATTTTTGGCGCCATATTTAGTGGCTGAAGTCATAAACAACAAAAACATCTCGAAGTTGGGTAAATAAAATGAAAAAAGGTGACATGTGGACTAACTATTACAGTATGCATGTACAACATAAGTTGTAATTATACCGTCGGCAAACATATATAAATCAAAAAATAAAATCCTTGAAGAGTAACTTGAAAAATAGACTACATGGCATTCATATGTATGTAAATACCTTTGGAAATAAGTTATTCTGCCAAAAGCTAATATTCTTAAAATTATTTTATGAAAACACTAAGTGGTAGTCATAAATTTACGGCTTTTTTGGAAGAAGTGCTTTATAGGTTTCATGGAATGTAAATATCAGTGCGTTGCAGCCATGAAATCTGTAACAAAATGTTTGAATTGTATGCCAATATATTAAATGTGAACTGCTCCTCTAATTACATGTTTGTTAGCGTATGATCCATTTGTAAATGAAAGATTCTATAGCCTTCTAGTAAGCGCAAAACACATTCAACAACAACTAATTGAAAAATCTAACTTTAGAACAGTACTGAGCCCTACAAATTGTCATAAGCAGGCCAATTTCATTAAGGATTGAGATACTGATCACTAAGTAGATCACAGTAATACCTTGTTTCAAATGGAAAAGATTCCCATGAAACCCTGAAAGTAGTTAATTTGTCATCTTTTAACTGACATTCTGCCTGAGTATCCTAAGAGTATTTCTGGCTGTAGGCAGACAGATCATTACAATGATAGTATTCAACAGAACCTACTCCTTAGGGAATTAACAGATTTATCCCTGAAGGTATGCACAGTACTCCGTGATTTTGTGCTTACAAGACAATCATTAGAAAAGCAAGGCTAGAATATTACTTATTCCTCATGTTGGCATTGGAATCATAATTCATGTCTTTTGAAAATAAGTGAAAGGCTAATTTCTGTCTAGAAAGAAATGATCAGTAATGATAATAATAATATTAATACTAAAACCTGAACTGATTCATCACCTTGTAGTAGAGTCCTAGTCTACAGTTTATAGTCCATATCGAATATGGCTGTCATATTCATATAAATATCATGTAGGGAAGGTGAACAGAAATATCTCACTACTGCCTGAACTCGTGGCATGCACGATAACTTCACCCACCCTCTAAGCGCGTATTGCAGCAAAACGAGCACTTACTGAAGTAGAAAAGTAATTTTGTTATTCCTAATTTTTTGGGCAAAAAATAGGCAAAATCTTATTAAGTAATCTGCTTATTCATTGCTGATATTTTCGTAGAAAAACCACTAGACAGTGTTGATTTAGCTGGCGAAGGAATTCGACTGGTGATCACAAAAATAATAAGACAAAGGATTGTTAGTAGGATTTTGTTAATGTCAGATGAATGCTATGCAGCACTTCTCGTTTGACGTCTACACATGTCTAGTAAAAACTGTGGAAGAAAAAATAATCATCTATTGAGGCGAAATATCTTAACTGTAGTTCATCATCAGATACATGGTAAAACGCCAAGTCATGATTCAGTTATAATCTTTGCAAATGTACGTTCAATGTGTAGTCTAAACTGACGATAAAATCAACATGCTGAAGATCAAGGAAATTAGGGTAAGTTGGGCGGTGATTGGTGTGTAGTCCATATCCTAACTGGAAAACAATTTCAGCAGTACCTTAAGATTTATTTATTAAAAAAACAAATCCGATTATGAATTCACCTGACTTAACAAAATCAAATGTTAAAGTGGAAGAGTATTATCACTGAATAAGATTTAGTGCAATTGTAATAATCTTAAAGCACACGAGGTTTTGAGGTAGAATCTTTAAAATACTTCTACAAAGTCAGCTACTTGAACGTATAGCATAAATGTCGTTAATGATGGCTATGAAGGCATATGAAAAGTGGGATATGACTACAATACTTACTATTCTGACTGCTAATTGTGTAGACAGAAGCTTCAGATTGTAGATTGCTTGATGGTTGTAATACATAAGACAAAAATGTTCGTTTATTAAGAAATGGAGTTTTTCTGAAATTGTTTTTGAGTAAGTATTCATAAACTCCAACGCAGCTACAGCGTATTGAAACTTTTTGTCTAATACTTGCAATCCATAGTGCAGGAAGCACATTTTTTACCTAGTTTTTAATCGTCGTCAAGGTGGACTAGTTTGGTCACCCACGTATGTGCAGGTGCTTTTGATGATTGTGTTTCTTCAATTACCGATAGTGGCAAACAGATAAATAAGCATACAGTTAAAGTGACTGAAATATTATGGTCACTGAGGATAGTAACCACTTACTAGGACAAGATTATGATAAACGAAGTGTGAATTAAGCCTCTGAAGCAATAAATCACCAGAGGCGAATAGATTAACGCCTGTGCAACTAAGTCACACTTGAATAAGTGACATATTCGGTCCACACGGTCTGGCTGTGTATTCTACCTCAGTATGATATATCTACACATATTGTGAAGGTAAATTTGATTCTAACTAAATAAATTTCATGTAATTTTGCTCTAATAATAATTCTAACAAAAAATAGGAAGTCCCAGTGCAGACAACTGACATAATCGCCTCATTCTCAGTTGGTTTCTACGCCTCACAGTTAAATTAGTTCGCCTGCCTAGAACTTAATAAAAGTAGTCAAAGACCACTGAACAACTTAGTAAGACGTAGTTGTCTCGTGGAAGACATTACTGTCTATCTTAAATACACGAGCATATGATGTCTACCACATTGATGCACGGCAAAATTACCAGATTACTCCGAGAAACTTTAAACTTTCACCAAGAGAAGTTGTCTTCTTTAATAACTGGTGGACATCAGCAACCGAGCATGTTTCCCAGACATTATAAAACTAAGTGGACAACCAAAAGAGTTATACTGAATTAATTATGAAAGCAATCACACGATTTATCACTTGTGTATGTGACATAATAATAACGATAGCTATATTCGGATAAATCATTTAGTCGTTAATGCAACTAATTGTTACCATTATAAATAACAATATTTATTAATCAGTTACCGTGTTTCTTCGCCTATGCTTTCAAATTCTCCTGAGTATTGCTTCAAAACTTCTTTCGATTGACTCTGTGGGAAACGATTATGGTAGTCATAATTCGACGTCATATTCAAATAGGACTTTTCCTGATTTCCTGGAAGATAGTTACTGTTGTAATTTGAGGTGTTTAATTCAGGTAATTTGTTCGTATAAATATTATTGTGTAATGGCATTTATACATTCAATTTAAGAATGTAATTAGTAGATAAATATGGACAAGTGTACACAAGTTGATATTTCACAGCAGTAGGCGTCCACAGTGAAATTTAGCATAATTTTTTTAAATTGTATTAATTGTCAATAATTTAATTAATTACAACTGACACTATCATTGGATATTGTGCTAGGTATCTTTGAACTAAGTGTGATGATATCTACCATCATTTTACGAAAATGGTACTCCACTAATAAAGTGAAAATATTTGACAACTAGTCGAATTCAAACGAAATCTTGTTTCATTTACTTTTAATAACTGGGGGGAAAAATCATAAAATATAGGAGAAATTTCAGCTTCTTCTATTTTTCGATTGGTTCAAATTTCACCTCTACTTATGAATAGTATAAATAGTGGATTCTCATTGGTGAATTATTTCTGATGTTTATTGAATTCAGTAGTGTAAGCATAAAACCGAAATAACATGAGAACAAGCTAAAACAACTAACAACGTACACCTGACTAGTGTTATTTGCTGGCCGACATTCCTACCATGATTTATTTCTCTAGATCATATCGCGATACTCATATGAATCCACGTCTCTGTCTTATAACTTCAAATCCCATTATTTTTGCAGTAAGTGGTGGAATTTTTCAGCTACCTAAGAGGACTGCTTCACGATCTCATCAAATATATATATATATATATAATAAATTGTCTTGCAACAGCTTAGCTTCTGTCTTACTTATTTCACTAGGATTCACCACTGCGCACTTAGCTGTGCATTTTTGTTTCAAGGTCGTGTCCGAATTCAATCGAATATTTCAACTTTTTGCTTTATCACGCTGGAATTTCTACATGAATGCATTCATATGATCTTACGCGTAATAAAATTTGTTCTTGAATAAGTTTTTCGGTTAAAAAACTCTCATAAATTTGTTGCGTATTAGGACCTGACTCTAGTCTCAATACTAGAATCTAACTACGTCTTCACGACCCCTAACTAGCAAAACCATGCAAAATACAACAAGACAGTCACAAAACCAATGTTCAGTTACACAACGGTTAATATTCGCTAAGCATAGATAAAATTAGTTTCCGTAACAGTCAAATATACGTGCATGAATCAGTTTTAGAAACGTTTGGTTAGCGTTAATAGAGGGGTGTGACTAGCTGTATTAGAAAGCCTACGTACAGATGATGGGTGTATGTCTGTCATAAATTCAGATGACTAACTTCTTGGCATTTCGAAGTTTCGATGAATAAAAATGTTGTAAACAAGTATTTTACTAAGCTATTCTATTGTTTAAAATAATCCCTGTGTGTTTAAGAAATCAAAACAAAATTTTTCTGAACGCTTACAATGCAAGCTACAGCTTTGTCGGAAGAATTACTCAGATTTCATTCAACACCAAAATTTATAGTCAAGTAGTGTTCGTCGGTGGCACAGTGGTTAGGACTCTCGCTGACCATGCACATGGTCCGGGTTCGAGCCCGCACCGACGCACACCTGATATCTATGGTCGGCCTGCAAAATTTGGGCTACCGATATCCATGCTGAAAATTCCATACAGTGTGGAATCAAGCTGTAAATCAAAAAAATAAATAAATAAATAGTACATACATTTAAGTGAATTTGACAAAAGGTGATATATTATCACTGTGTGCTTTTATCAAATAAATATACTCTCTATTGCCAACCTTTCACTATACAATTCACTGTACAATATGCGTATGCATAAGTGTATATGTATATGCGTTGTTTATTGCTTGGAGAACATACTTATTTTTAAGCATCACTTATGACCACGATTCAGATCCTATAAAATATAATAATGATTCGCCTTTATCAGTTTTATTTAGTTATAGTCTGATAGATATAACTAGGTGCTCAAAAGACTGAAGGAAATTCGTAACCTCTATGAACTCAATATTCATCTTGATTAGTGTCTAGGTAAGTTGATTATAGGACTAAGAATAATCATTTACAAGTGTGTGTGTGTGTGTGAATAACATTTCAAGGAATTGGACACCGCACATAGTTAGATCTACTCTTCCAGTTGGTGCCAAATTGCATATCATGTGAGTCAACCAGTAGCTGAACACCACATTAACTTCAATGACTATTAGGAAGAGAAAAATTTCGGGGGAACCTTTCCGTTAAGTTTTCGTATGATGAATACTTCCAAAGTATTTTCCGGTTGCTATGGAAGGGGTGATGTTTTTGCCATAATTATCACACTACTTATAAGTAGCTTGAGATTTGCAAACGAATTCTTTTGGGTTTAAAATGTCCAATTCACTCCTTGTGTGAATTTAGCCTGGTGGTACATGAAAATTCTGTTCTGGGTAATGGAGCTTATATGTCACGGAGGCATTATCTTTGTATTTTGCATGAAGAAATAAAACATATACAGATACCTATCATGTATCTGATCAGTTCACTGGAATTCTAAAACAAAGCTTCCATAATATCCCCTACAATCCCAGCTACACGTGTGTATGCCATACACTACTATGAATGTTCAGTGTGATTCGAAAGAGTTAGGATCTCAGATGTTGTGATTCAAATACGGACTGTCAGATTGAGCATGTCCATAACACTGCTAATAGTGACAACCAAAAATTAAATTCCAGTCTAATCTTGACTACACTAAATAACACTTATCTTAGTGTGCACTGGGTGTTAAGTGTGGTTATGTTGCCACCAAGATTGTCCCATGAAAATTTTGTCACACTTTCTGGAAAAACGTTCATTAGTTGTGAGCTTATTTCATTAGACGTCACTTTACACGTCAGAAAGGTAATAATATTCATACCAACATAAAGGTTGATCATTAAATAACAGTTTTGTCCATGGATTTATTCTGAATTAAATAATAACAGTAATGAAAACCATACCTCTGTTTTAGTTAATCCTGTTTAATTTTCTTATGACGAACTGGGTATGAGCTACAATTGGCAAGTTGCATCTTAAGATTATGCATTTAAGAAAAGAGTTTCTTCAAGGCCAGAACATTTAGTTACCGATCAACTCATCATACCAATAGACAACACTTTTTCTTTCTACCGAATTCAGTTACATACCATTCATTCAAATATGTGTAGCTTGGTAATATAGATGAATACATTAAGATATATGGGATTCAGCCAATCACTGCTTTTTTATATTCAGTGAAAATGCCGGTCTCGACTAAATTCTTTTGATTTTGTTAGTTGTGGTCAAACTAGTCATCTCATAAACGACAGCTTGTTTGCACTAAGTTTAGTACAGTGAAAATAGAGTAGACTTGTGCGTATAATGAGATTAAAACTATCAGCGACACAGCCTAGCCAATATAGATTCTGGCAGAATATTTGTCTAAACACAGTGACAGTTTACCCATTATGCACTAATGAATCCTTCGAAGGTGAAAAGTTGCCTGTCTAAGCAATTATGCCCAGCATAATTCAGATAGAGTGTGGCTTTACATTGCATGAAGGATAAACCACAGTTTACATCTAGCTTTCTTCTTCTATGTAAGTAATTACATTGTACCTTAACAGCGATACCTCCAAAAACATGTGTCACTTGTCACTGGTGCTTATTTGGTGAACGATTTCCTCAAAAACAAGTTTACTGTGAGACACTACCTTTCCACTATGCAATATTAGTTAAACTATCGAATTTTCGTGCTTCTAAGACATAATATGTCTACTCCAACGGCTTTTCTAACTACAGAATTGGACTGTGCCTGGCACTTAATATTCCGATTACTTCCATATACTTTCTGTAACGTGACAAAATAAATCAAGTGACTATTGGATAAGACAACTTGTGATTTCACCTACTATAGACCAAAAGAACTCGAAATATGTCTGACTATTTCTGACACTTGTACTACAACGAATCCTAAAACTATTTAAAAAATTAAACAAAACACATCTTAATATGTTCAGTGATTGATAGATTTGACAGAGTTTAACTTGATATTAGGGGTAGTTAACAGTTTTTAATAAACGAGGAAGCTTGTAAAAAGTTTCTTTTCCTGTGTCAGCAAGACTGATGATTGACTTTCTCACTCACTCACTCACACACTCACTCACTCACTCACTCACTCACTCACTCACTCACTCACTCACTCACTCACTCACTCACTTACTCAATCACTCACTCTCTCTGTCTCTCTGCCCATCTCTCTCAACAGGATGTAGAGTGAATTGTACATCACTAAAGAGTAGAATAACAAGGAAAGTGTGTTGGATTAATTTTTGACAAGCAGTCAAAAATGTACTTGATATACCATCAGAAAATTTGATTAATACACCGATATTAGATCATATTTCTCTGCTTCAACTCCTGATGATTATTATGATGATGACGATGGCGATTATAATTAGGTCTTGATGGATGTGAATGTACACTCTTTTTATATTCAGTGATAAAAATGTCTGACAGTCAACAAAGCTTTTAATGCATATATGTAAGAATGCAAAATGATATCTTACACTAATGATGGATTTTTCACGTCTGACTTTATTCTCGATGTAAATCAGTCTAAATATATTTTTTCTTTTCAGAGAAAAGCAGATTATTTTATGTGTTAACCACTGTAATTGTATTTTCACTCAAAACTAATCGATTAGACACTGAGTATTTTTGATTTCTTGTCACTGAAGTACCTGAAAAAATTCCCTTTTATTTTTTGATAGCGCTTGTACAGACTGAAGCATCATTTCAACTACAGGCCGGATTGACGAGGATATCAAAGCCAGAATCGGAAAAGCAAGACAGGCTTTCATTACTCTCAAGTCTGTGTGGAAGTCAACATTACTCAGCATCAAAAATAAGATCCGGATTTTCAACTCCAATGTGAAGCCAGTCAGTGCTACTATACGGATCAGAGACTTGCACTGCGCGTCATAAAGAGCATCTCAAACAAACTACAGACTTTCATTAAGAGTTGTCTTCGCTCAATACCACTCAAGATCAGATGGCCGGTCAGAAAAGATCAGCAACAAAGATCTCTGGCAATGAGCGAACCAACCCGGCAGAAACCGATTGCGAAACAAATAGGCAGGAAGAAATGGAGATGGATTGGCTGGCCATACTCTGAGGAAACCATCAAGTAACATCACTAGACAAGCCATTGCTCGAGTGGAACACGAAAGGGAAGCGGGCGGCGAGTTGGTCGTCAGTGTGAGGGTGACTTGGAGGAGGAGATGAAAGCATGTGGACAGACCTGGAGCGTAGTGAAAAAGTTGGCAGGAAACACAAGGCAATGGAGATGCGCAGCTGAAGCCCTATGTTCCTCTAGGAATTATAGGATATAATAATAATAATAATTGTGCAGACTGAAAAATGAAGTCTGCCATTACTTCCTTGTT